TTTGGAGCGAGAGCAAACAGGAGTGATAGAGGAAAGGATGAAGAGAAGGATAGGGGGATAAATCAAGTCATCTGGAGACGTCGATTGACATTACATTTGAATAGTTAGAGATTATAGCTATCAGGGAAACAGGAAAAGGAGAGGGATTTCCACAGACGAGAAATGGGAGACATGAAGCTATTGGAGTAGAAGAGATGGCTACATTTAACAATTTCGCCAGTGAAAGGGTGACCGCGAGATGCCAGCCTAGTAGAACGCTTAAATTCATGAAGTCTGGGAACCAGCGAAAGCAGCTCATCGGAGCAGTTACCGTGAAATTATTTGTAAAAAAGACAGAGGGAGGCGATGACACGTCTGTGAGAAAGCGACTGCAGACGAGATGCCAGATCAGGGCCAATTACATTGCATATCCGTCTCCGGCTTTTATCAAGAACCTTGAGACAAACAAAAGGGGCTCCAGACAATATATGGCAGCAATACTTCATGCAAGGGCGAATGGCTGATTAGTAGATTTGAAGGAAAATCTGGCTATGATGAAGCTATTGACTCAATGTATTTGTTCCATCTCAAGTCAGCAGTCAATGTGAGACCGAGCAGTCGCAAAGAGGTGCTCTCGTGGAGTTGAGCGTCAGACACTCTAATGGGGGGGGGATGGTTCTCTGTGGTAATAGAGCGCAGTTTTGTTTTTGAGGCATTAAAGTTAACCAGACAATTCCTGCCCCAGTTCACAACCGATTGGAGGTCCTTTTCGAGACAAACGGCAAGGTTAGTTTTGTCAGCGACACTAGATTTGTTTTTGAGGCAGGAGTAAATAGTAGTGTCGTCCGCATAGTTGCCTACTTGGGAATCTATGACGTCAGGAAGATCGTTGATGAAGATAAGGAACAGAGTAGAGCCTAGGAGGGTGCCTTGGGGAACACCTGCGTTCGTGGGATAGGAGCTGGAGGAGAATCCGTTGAGAACGACCTTCAGTTCACGGTTTGACAGGAATTATTGTATTAAGTCAAACAATCGACCTGAAATTCCATAACCCTGAAGCTTCGAAGAAGGCCGGCATGCCAAACGCTATCAAACGCTTTGGAGATATCTAGAGTCACGGCACGAGCTTCTCTGTTATTATGAAGAGCTTGGTAAACAATTTCAGTTATGGCCGTAAACACATCGGCTGCAGAACGGGCAAAGCGGAAACCATATTGCTTGTCGGAGAAAGATCTTGATCATCAAACTTTCAACCTACGTCTTTTCAGTCTTCCAGTTCTAGGATCAGTAAGACGATACACGCTGCGGCTTCAGTAAAGAGTATCCGTTTTTAGGGGTAAAATTTGTTTTTAATATACCAGTAAGCATATAAAAATAGCACACACACATACACACACACACACAGATATATATATATATATATAAATATATATATATATATATATATATATATATATATATATATATATATATATATATATATATATATATATATATATATATATATATATATATATATATATATATATATATATATATATATATATATATATATATATATATATATATATATATATATATATATATATATATATATATATATATATATATATATATATATATATATATATATATATATATGAGCATTTCATGGGTTTTAATCCGATAATAATTCTTATTAATATTGACTTTATTTTGTGTCTTCTCAAGCACGTGCACTCACTAAAATAACTTTTTTTATATATATATATATATATATATATATATATATATATATATATATATATATATATATATATATATATATATAAATATAAGTGCGATCAAAAGCACCGTCGGTTTAATTTTTTAGTGTATTTTTACAACTTTCAGATAAGGTGATGTGTATTGTGCTCGAAGTTGGGGATAACTAGTCCGCTGTTCATATTTTTCTATTTTCGATATTCGCAGTCATTATCAAGAACAGATGAGATGTCTGTGTGGTAGTTAGGTTTCCTTTTTCTGCATCCTGGTATTCTTTTTGGAAGCTGGACGTTTGAAATAGTCTACAGTGGAATTGGAACGAACCCGCACAAAAAAAAGATTGCAATTAATTTATTTATTAATTTAATTACAATTTCAATTTTAATTTTATTTTATTTTATATATATTGAAATGATAGAATAAAACAAAAAAAATGAGTACATACCTTAAAAACCAGTAAAAGAAAATTCTATCTCGTACCTGAAATCAACCATGGATCGTAAATTGCAAAAATCCTAATATTTCTGTCGTGAGGTAACTGCTCCACATATAAAAGTATTCTTACGTTTGTTTGTTTTTTTTTCTATATTGAATTAACCAAAAACAGCTTTTTTCAATTAACTTGTACAACTTATCTAATTATTCGCACTCCACATTATTCATATAACATCTCATATAGTCAGTAATTACATTTCGCTGAAAATTAATATTTTGATAGGAAACAAATGTAATAAAGAAATCTAATAAATTATTAGTTTAACTATTTTAAGTTTCTGATATGCAATTACGTTACTCTTCATTTGTCTGCAAGCTCAAGTAATTTAAGATATGAATAATAATGGTGTTTTGTCAAGCTTAAAATAACAAAATTTATGCGTTCGCTGCATCACCAGATGAGTACACTACATGGAGATGTGTCATGTTACCCATCCCTATGCAGTGGACTTGATGTAGGATGGTACGTTTTATGTATATGGAGGTCGCTCTGAACGGGCACACTTCCAGATCCTTCCTTATGAATGCGGAAGTCTCCCCAACGCTCTATCCTGGGTTCAACACTGTTTCTGGTCTTCATCAGTTATCTTCCTGATGTCATCACCTCCCAAGTAAGCATCTATGCTAATGACACTACCATTTACTCTTGTCTCAATAGTAAATCCGGTAGCGTTGATAAAATCAACCTCGCTGCTGCTCTCGAAAAGGACCTTCAATCAGTGGTTAACTGGGGTAGGAAATGGCTTGTAAATTTTAATGGCTCCAAAACGAAACTGTTCTCATTTAGCCACCACAGAGCTAATTCCCTGCCTGTCATTAGCATGGTTGATGCTAGACTTCAGGAAAGTGTCTCTCTCTCTGCCTTCCTGGCCTTACACTATCGAATGACTTGAAGTGAAATAACTACATTGAATCAATAGCTGCATCTACTGAAAGGAAATTTGTCTCACTGTCTCGTGTTAGAAGGTTTTTCTTGTCAGAGTCCATCCTGCACATTTAAAAATCTACCATTCGCCCGTGCATTGAGTATTGTTGCCATACCTTGTTGTTATGGGACCTTACCCATAATAACATAATGGACTATTCCATACGTAATACAGCGCCTCAAGAGGAAGCAGGGAGTTCAGTCCAAAATCGGGCGACCGGCTGATCGGCTGATCGGTTGAACTCTCTGCCTTCGGGCGGGGAGGAAACCGAACGAGGCTACGCCGAAGGGCGGAGTCTCTTTCGGGGAGGCAAACCGACCCTGAACCCGTTTATACGGGTTCAAAGGACATTTTACAGCCGAGCCCACGGGCTCGGAGATCCCACGTTAAACCGGCCTTGTGCCACATGATGCCCTTGTGGCGGGATGACTAAATACTGTTCAGTCTGAAGTCTAGAGTGAGGTCCGTCAGGAGTCTGTCAGTCAGTCGAGTCAGAGGCAGTCCGAAACAGAGTCGCGTTCAGACAATTACTACTAAACCTGATTGTTCGTACTAACACTTTCTACTTCTCTGTATATATTCCTGTTTGTAATATATCTGTTTTATTCCATATCCGTGTTCGAGTTCTTCTTTATTGGTTCTACCTTGGACTATCACTGTGGTACAAGGAACCGGACCCTAACACTTGTCTAGTGCCCCAGCTGTCTATCACGAGGCTTTTGAAAAAGCCCAAAGAAGAGTCTGCAATGTAATCGATCCAGGCTTGGCATCTCGACTTCAGTCACTTTCTCACAGACGTGATGTGGCTTCCCTTTGTTCTTTTATACAAATATTTCCATGGCTACTGTACTGTTGATATTTTTCCCTGTTGCCACGACTGCATTAATTTAAGCGTGCTACTAGACTAGGTCCAATATTTTTAACGTTGAAATAGTTAAATGTAACCGTCACTTCTACTCCAAGAGTTTCTTTTCTCGCGCCTCCGCTTGTGGAATCCTCTTCCATTTACTTGCTTTCCTGATAACTACAATCTTCACAGATTTTAATGCAACGTCAATCGCCATCTTCTGATGTCTTGAACCACGTTCATCTTTTATACTTTCTTCATTCTCCCTAGACACAGTTTTTCTCTCACCTTCACTCTATGTAAACCTCTGCGAAACAGTAGCACATCCGCCTTGTTTGGAGTGAAGTGGTTAAAACAATGGATTTTAAATATTAGGATGTAGACAACACACAGAAAATTCGCGGATATATTTTTCAGTTTTTTTCAGCAGATTCTTTTAGAAAAGAAAGTAAATAACTTTATACAAGTAGGTAATTTCTAAACTTTTCTTTACAAATGGAAGGTCAGTTTTAGTTATTTGATCGAAATGAAATCAAGTAAGACAAATTCAGGTTCAAGCAATTCCTTATGGAGATTAAAACTCTCCGTGCCACGCGCATTGTAACGAACCCCCTTATTGCTTTCGTATTTCATTGGCGAGACACATTGAAGTAGCGAAAGATGCCATCTATAAGTTAAGCAAAGTATTAAGAAAATCCTATTGCATTAGAAACAAAGAAAATAGCACTGAACTGTTACGTAATATCAGTCCTCCGATATAGCAGAGAATACTGAACCATCTTCCCACAGATGAAGAAGAGACTTGAAGCAACAAAAATATGGTTCTATAGACGGATACTGAGAATACCATATACGAAATATGTGAGCAAGGACAAATTTAAATGCAACATCAATCGCCATCTTCTATCTTCTTGAATACGGTTCACCTTTTGTCTTTTCCTCAATCCTCACAATTCTTAGCCTTTTCTCTCACTTTCACTGCCTATAAACCCTCTCCCCCACTGCGTACTAGTGACATTTCCACCTTCCTTGGGGATAAAATGATTTTAAAAAAATCATAACTTACTGTTTAATAAAAGTGACGTAGAGAACAGGCTTTTACTCTTTGTGGACAAATTAAGAGGCGTGATAAACTGGCTAATATATATATATATATATACATGTGTTTGTGTGCGTGTGTGAGTGTGTGTATGTAAATGTGCGTGTAAATGTGTGTATGTGTGTCTGTGCGTGCATGCAAAAGACGCATGGGTTATTTATAAATGACACTGAAACACTGATATTCGCTTGTATCCCGGGTTTCAGGAAAAACTAAAAACAACACAAAAATTTAATATTTATGTTGAGTGCCTGGAGATTAGTTACATTCGAGGAAACAGGTATTTGGAGCCGTCTAGACATATTGGGAAGATAGCCAATGTGTACGTTTGTTTTAAGTGCTAGAGAATTGAGGTTAAACAAATAGCGAATAAAGTGGGGCTATTTTGACAAATAGAAAAACGGGACAATATTCCTTTCGCCTCAATTAAAATATATATATATATATATATATATATATATATATATATATATATATAGGAAAACTATATAGAAACTTTTCATATGTCAAGAACAATTTTGGGGCAAATAATTTAATAAATAAAGGAAAAGCGGGCCCCACGAAAAACATTTATACTTTGTCTTAGATTTCCCTAATATATATATATATATATATATATATATATATATATATATATATATATATATATATTAAAACATGTCTCATAAAATAATTTAGACAATTTTGTCTCCATATTTTTTATATGATCTCCTATTCACGGACAAGTCTCTTAGTATACTTCCTAAAGGAAAAAAGAAATTTACCATATCGCTGAATATTCATTTATTCCGAGTACTTTCGACATTAGCAAAATGTCATCTTTAGGGTCTTGTTTCATCAGGGTCCTGTTTTATCTAAGATAAATTCATTGCGTTTATCCGAAAATTATTTTTTTTATTTGTGGAATGAAAATCGCTAAACTTATGGACTATACGATTTTTAAATTTTATGACGTAAGCATATTCGTAGAGTAATGTCAAGGGAGGTAACTAAGTTATTAAGATGTCTATTTAAAAAAAAAAAATATTTAACGCTATTAGTTTAAAACTAGATATTTTAAAACTATCTATTGTAGACATTTTAAAACATTTGTGCAGTATTCATAATTATATATATACATATATATATATATATATATATATATATATATATATATATATATATATATATATATATATATATATATATATATATATATATATATATATAAGTATGTCCACTATTTCAGCATAAATTTTCTATATTGAAGTTTAAAATGAATTTTTACAACGAAAAAGCATTCTTGAAGATTTCATTTTTAGCTTTAATTGAAAGTTTAATAATTAAATTTACGATTTCTATTAATTAAACAATTCTGGTGTATTTCAGATAGAAACTATATACATTTGATTGTCAAATTTAATTTCAAATTTTAAATTTTCTTAAAAACGGCCATTTTCTTAATTTTTAAGAAATTTGTAAACAAACACAAATTTATCGATTTTAAAATATTTAAAAAATTCTGACACGTTATTTTAGTAAAATTAAAAATTTAAAGTTAAAGTAATCTGATTTCAAAGAAATCTTTGTTACTTATAGCATAAAAAATAATATACAACCAATTATTAACGAGCGGTCCCGTTCAGTTGTTCGATCTTATTGATAATGGTTGATTGACGAGCTGATGACAGCTACTACTGATGACCATAAATGACATAATTTTTAAGTCTGAGTTTTAAAAAAAATTATTCTATTTGAGTATGACACACACTAATGGAAATACAATACATAAAATAAAATTATTTAGTGAAATAGTAAATGAAAAAAAAAAGAAAAAAATAATTTAAAATTTAAAGTTTACACTTTTACAGCTGATCGGAAAATACAATCTGTTAATAAACGAATGTTTTGAAAAGGCCACGTAAAGGGACAAAACCCTTAGATCACGTGACCTTGTTATATAATAATGGCAATTTCTGTATATCATACATGGAAATAAGGAATGTATTAAGTAAAAAATACAACATAAAAAATTATTTTAAAAAAAAAAGTAGCGCAACTAAATTTATTAAACTTAGCAATTTTGGATTCGTAAATTTTTTTCTACTTAATTACTACATAATATCGAGGAACCCTCCTAATACAGAGCTTTTACACGATTTAAAACTATTATAAATTATTATAATTAAAATTTCTTAAAAAACGAAAAATTCTTGTAAAAATTAATTATTCATCAGAAAAAAATTATTTCTTCAGACAATAATGTCCTTGATATTACTTATTTACAAAAGCAATTAAAAGCTTTTCTAATTAAGTAATATCATAGTTTTATTGGATTCATTATTTTTCAATTCAGAGCAGATTTTCAGTTAAATAGCTCAAATTTGTGAAAGAAAAGTAGATTATTTACCATCTCCGAAGACATATTTTAAAAAAATATAATTTTTACCAAAATTTTCTAAAAAAAAATATTTCAAAAATAATTTCATTGATTTGTGAATAAGTCCTGAAAATTTCATTAAAATTGGACAATTATTTTATTTTTACAAGAATTTCCAAATCAATATGTTTTCAACGATAAAAAACGCAAAAAAAAACAATGTTATTTTAAACGTCGCCGCGATGACGTAAAGAAAGACGACTTTAATCAAAATTTCGAACGTGTTAGAAAATATTAAAAAATTTAAAAAAATAATTAAAAAATACTTTTTTCTTTCATCTAAATAATAACATAAGCATTTTGACGATAATACTTTATTTTCTTTAAGTTTGTGGCATTTTTCATTTACGCTATGCTGTTTTTCCGCGAAAACAGTGGACATGCTTATATGTGTGTGTGTGTGCGCGCGCGTGTGTTTGTGTGCATGTGTGACAATTCGGAAAATGGATGATTTGAGTTTTATTGTAAATTTTTATATCTACAGTGTAATGGACGCAGGTTCGAATCCTGCCGGAGGACGCATCCTTTTCTGACATGATTTCTCGAAATATTCAGGCCGGTAGATGTAAATAAATAAATATACTGTTTAATAAATGAATAAATAAAAACTGAGCATATATTCAAATTGAAATATCCATTTTTAAAGAAATAAATTAAAAATACCCCGAGGCGGTGTAATGGTTAACAAGTTTCTCTCGCCAGAGCAATTACGATTGAATAGTGAGTTCGATCCTCAACAGGTGTCCCATACTTTCGGCCTTGTGCCACATCTCAGCTACGGTTGGAAAATAACTAAGCTTTGGGGATTTGGGCAAATCATTATAGTAATACATCGAGTCTAGAAGTAACCTCAACAGAATGCAAAAAGCACTTGAAGGCAGTTTCGTCCTATTTCTGGGACTCACCAACAGTGCACATCCACTACCGAGATTCGAACGCGGATTGTTTCAATACAACACAAGCTTCATACCAACTCCGCCAACGGGCCACGGTGACAGAGAAGCAACTGAATAGACACAATCTAGCGTTGCTACTCACGAATTCCGTGGTTATACTCATCCAAGTATTCATAACCCAATGGAGGCTCTGGGTCAAGCAAGGATATATATATATATGTTTCGTTGAATATGCGGGTCAAGGAACGTAAAGCTTTCGGCAACTTTCTTAGCCATTTTCAAGATGTTTCTTGTCAATTGTTTTTAATTTCTTTTTGTGGTTCTCTTTTTAAAATTGCCACTACCAAACGGAAAAAAAATAAGAATACAAGAAAAACTCAATAAAAATAAATCAATATCTCTAATATTCAACGAAACTTATTTGATAGAAAGGTTGCTATCCAATTAAACCTTTGAATATATATATATATATATATATATATATATATATATATATATATATATATATATAGAATGTAACAAAATTCTTTTACAAACTTTGGGCGCGGATTCCTTACACCAGAACAAGTCCATATAAACATTATGTCTGCAAATATTCATATAATTTTTTCCCTTAAATATCGGGATGTTTCACCGATGTATTTCTGAAGATATTGTTTATATCTTATTTGTTGTAATCCCGTTCCTGATGTAATCGTAGTTTTTTTTTTGTTTTGTTTTGTTTTGTTTTGATTAAACTTTTTTTTTAGAAGGTTCTGTGATAATTTTGATAAAGTGGTAGACTTTTGATATTAGCTAAATTTATCTCAAGTTTATTAGTCAGGTATTTTTAGATAACATAACGTGGTTAGTTTTAGATTATACATTATTTTCCTTTTTGGTTCTGTTGGTTTTGTAAGTTTTCTGTTTGGCATTACTTCTTCCATATTTATCATCCGTGATGCATAATTCAGCTGTGGTCCCATTTCAAGACGTTCTCGATGAATCTGATCTTGTTGATAAGATTCATGTGAAATTAGTAAATACTTCAGATACGTAGGCGTATGGATCAGTTAAATCAAATTTAGTATAGAGGAAATGGAATTGAATATAGGATAAGCTGCGCTAGAGGTAATTTCACCCACCATCGCAAATTGGGACAAAACCAAAACTTTAACCTGAAAACTAGTCATGTTCTTAAATAGCTTCGTCAAATCGAGAATTTTTAATATGGGTGTCAAGTATGGCACCAAATCCGTTCAGAAATATCTAAACTGTCAGTTGTATACAGCCGCTTTCTAAGAGTAATCATTAAAATGGCTTTGAGCAAGTGAAGCCTCTGGCTATGACCACTGATCAATGAGAGGCTAAATTAAGACTGGCAGAACCCTTTTTATTTGAATAGACTCTCCCAGAGATGAGAGAAATGACAGAGGATATGTTAACCACAGTGTTGTAGAGTAGTTTTCCCAGTGGAGGCTTGTATTTGTACTAAGTCGGTCCTAAAATAGGTTCGACGTACAAAACGTTAGGAACTTGATATAATAGGTAATGACGCAGAGAAATCTAGTTGCGGTCGCTGATACTTTAGTATCCGACTAACGGGTCGTCCGGCATCGACTGACTGACCGACTTCCCTGAGCGACTCCTACTACTCCTACTTATTATAGGTGGGAGAGTCTATTAACAATAGAATAGGTGTGTTCCACTATAACACACAGTAATCTTTTAATCCACGTATTTCCTTATTTTTCGTCTCAGTATCGATTCGGGTTATAAAAATATTGGATCTATCGGGATCTCTCTCTCTCTCTCTCTCTCTCTCTGTCTCTCTCTCTCTCTCTCTCTTCCCACTCCAAATAATAATTGGGAGATATTTTTATACGTAGTATTCACCTTGTTTGTTCAATGGGATTATAAGATCGGCTACATCCACACTTTCACAATATATTTCCTTTTTGTCTCTGTTTTCTGTATTTGTTCCCCAGTTCGATAGGTGTGTCTTTTACGGTTTATCGACTCTTTGTACCTTATTTAAAATTAGAAAATATTTTGAGATTCCGAGAATTTGGGGGAGAGAATAATTTACTGATTAACCCATAGATGGGGGAAGGGGTGATTCATACCTTCCTCAAAGACTTGAATTGGAACTCGGCTCTCCGATTTTCAATTTAGTGACGTTATCCATTATACCCCTTGGCACATCCAAGCTTATAGCACCAAGCGGTCACGCATCTGGTAACTGACCAGACTGGGCGTTGCTTACCTTCGATGATCGTTCGAAAGCCAGTTTCAACATATGTCCGTAAGCCATTGTTTCACTAGAATTTGATAACTAAAAAAAAAATTCCCTTGTTTTATGCGGTTAACAAAAATGACTTAGTAATATAATCGATTGTCCTGTTAAGAGGAGTTTTTGGTTTTAGAGCGGTGTTCACCCTGTACAAGGCCCTAGAGCCAGTCTTGGTATAAAGAGTAAGAGGCACAGCGGATATGTGCGAAAGAAAACGGTTAACTCTAGGCTTGAACCGGTTAAGATTATAGTGATCGGGGAAGCAGCCTCTTAGGAGTCGGTTCCACAAGGTAACGATTCATGGGAAGAAGCTGCTTGAATGTAACTTACATCTCACCAGAAGTATACGAAGGGAATAAAGATGGTTTGCTACAATGTGCGTCGCATGGCGCGTCTTAATTGTCTTGGAGTGGTGGAACTAAGGATTGTTGTTCATTTTAATGCTCACCATGGAAATAGCGATATAGCAGTGAGAGGCTTGTGACTGGTTCGAATTCTGTCTTTTCTGCAAATATTTTCATGGCAGTTGTTCTGATGAGCTTTCCACTATGGTGACTCGACTGCACTAAGCTTGCAACTGGATGGGCAACAAGCTACCATTGTTTTATTGCTGAATTAGTTAGATGCAATCGTCTGTTCAACTCTAATATTATATTTTATTGCACTTCTCGCCTGTGGTACACGGTCCAAATTTCTTGCTTCCCTGGCACCTATAATCTTCAAACATTTTCATGCAACGCCAATCGTCATCTTCTGTCTTCTTGAATCATGTCTCTTTATTGTCCTTTCTGCTCCTCTTTAAAGTATACTCATTCTCTTTCACTACCTTTAACCCCCACACCACGTCCTAGTGGCTTTATCGCCTTATTTCAGGTTAAAAGATTAAAAAACAGTTTTAAAAATTAACCTTTAGGCAATGAGTAAAATATCTCGTTTAAAAAAATTCGTCTCGAAAAGGACCTCCAATCGGTTGTGAACTGAGGAAATAATTGGGGGGTTAACTTTAACGCCTCAAAAACAAAACTGCTCTCTATTAATCACCACAGTATCCTTCCCTGTCCCCCTCCCCATTAGAATGTCTGACGTTCATCTTCCCGAGAGCACCTCTCTGCGGCTGCTCGGTCTCATCTTGTCTACTGACCTGACATGGAACAAATACATTGAGTCAATTTATTCGTCCACCGCAAGGAAAGTTGGCTCCTTGTGCTGCGCCAGGAAATTTTTCTCCCCGGAATCGATCCTTCAAATCTACAAATCAACCATTCGCCCTTGCAAGTAGTATTGCTGCCATATATGGTCTGGAGCCCCTACTGTTTGCCTCTGGGTTCTTGATAAGATCCAGAGACGGATATGCAATATAATTGGCCCCGATCTAGCATCTTGTCTGCTGTAGCTCTCTCACAGACGCACCGTTGCCTCCGTCTGTCTTTTTTACAAATATTTTCATAGTAACTGCTCCGATCAGCTGCTTTCGCTGGTTCCCAGACTTCAAGCGTCCTACGAGGCTGGCATCCCGCTCTCCCCCTTCACTATTGAAACTGTTAAATGTAGCCGCCTCTTCTACTCCAATAGCTTCATATCTCGCACCTCTTGACTGTGGAACTCCCTTCCCTATTCCTGTTTCCCTGATAGCTATAGTCTCCAACTATTCATATGTAATGTCAATCGACATCTCCAGTTGCCTTGATCTATCCACTATCCTTCTCCTCATCTTTTCCTCTATCATTACTATCTGCTCTCGCTCCAAATCCTCTATAACCCCTTGCGTGCTAGTGGCTTCCCGCCTTGCTAGGGGTGAAATGCTTAAAAAAAAAGTATTCTCCTGTTCATTATCCAAGTCAAAAAAACTCCAAACGTTATATTTTCTCATCGTCAAATTCTCTGTTAGAATCAACAGCGCTGTTTCCTTATTCGTATTAAGTTCATAAGTTCTATCTGTCGCACACTTAATATTTGCTCTCAGCGCAACGACTGTTACTGAATGCATAGGCTGACCCAGAATGGCAAACTACTGGTCAGAGCTCTGACGACACGAACTTAGCGGGATGATTTGAAGAAAGTGGGTATGGAATTCTGACAGTGATTGATTGTCTTCGTTTAAGTTTTGATAACGGACCAAAAATCGCGCGTATACAGTCAGTACGTCTGCAAGAATTATGTTCAAGATGTCTCGCCGCACCCTGATTTCTTAGTGTGACAAGTCAGCGTGTGGTGACGGGTAGATATCAACCGGCTGAATTCCGTCTTCTCTCTCTCTCTCTCTCTCTCTCTCTCACACACACACACACAAACACACACATACACACACACCCAACACACACACACACACACAGAGACTCGCTTCCTGCAAAATATCCCTTAAATTGTCCGCCGTTGATTCAGTCTGTTATGCAGAGTTGGTGGTTTGAAGAATCTAATCAAAAGACGACACAAAACGCAACAAAATGCACGCGATTTGTTCAAGTTTCTATATGTCTTTTCGTCTGCCAAATTCGCACGTCATCGCGCACGTCTTTGAGAATTTCCTTGAACTGCCTGTATCACTCAATAACATTTGATTTCTCCATAGCACATTTTGTATGAACTATGTAAAATATGGCTAACGTCTTACTCACACTTTTAACATTCTTCACTCAAAAATGGATAATAACCCGCTACTCCTAATTTTTTTTCTCATTTTCTACCAACAGTATAACATGAAGACGTACAACTCGGTTAATTTCTGCGCCTGAAGATTGTAAAGTTGTAACATGTTTGGACGTGCTCGAGTACAAATGCATGCCTGACTCATCACTGCGGGCATTGCCGGAGTTAAATTACCACAAGGGACAACCCAAAATTAATGTATATATATATATATATATATATATATATATATATATATATATATATATATATATATATATATATATATATATATACAATACAATTTAAAAGTTTGAGGCCACCTGTTAATTTTAAATTGGACACCACAGTATTTGTTTTGTACTTTAAATAAGAGAATATTACTATACATTTTAGAAACGAAGTGAGACATGATATTTATTAGGAATTTTATTATAACAAAAAGAATAAAAAACATTTTATGATTAATATTTACTCTTGTCAAAATGTCCTCCGTTAGCCTTAATCACTGCAGCAGAAATTTTTGGCATTTGTTGCAAAAGTAACTCAAAGTATAAATTTGATAATTTATTCTATTCTTCTTTCAATAACTCTAAGAGCACTTTTTTTATTTCTTCACTCTTCTGTCAAGTTATTCCCATGCTAATTCCTGGGGTGGCTTCAAATGTTTGTACTGTAGTGTACACACACATATATGTGTGTGTGTGTGTGTGTGTGTGTGTGTGTGTGTGTGTGTGTGTGTGTGTGTGTGTGTGTGTGAATGTGTGTGTGAATAAAAAACAAATAATATAAATAATTACATTACAAAAAAATTAATAACAACATTACCTTACATTCTTTATTAGACATTAAAGTATATCATTTAGCGTCCACCATAGTTTACCTTGACTTTTGGTTAGCCTGAAGTATACTTACGAGCTTCCTTAAGTTCTAAAAACTCTGAAAAAGTAACATTTTTAATGCTGGGCATAAGTATTTGATTCCAAATAAAATCTTTACATTTGCCTTGATGAATTCCATCATCGGCTATGTTTTCCTTTTGTCGTTATTCATGTTGTTTTATTACAGATATATTTTTAGTCACATCTGAATTTACAAACGTGGACAAACACGCACACACACACAACACACACTCGCGCGCATATATATATATATATATATATATATATATATATATATATGTATGTATATATATATATATATATATATATAAAAAGTGAGAGAAAAAGGTAGAAAGAAAGTTTAATTTAAAAATGTAAAGATTTCTCTTTTTTGATTTACATTTATTAGAAAATTTAATTCTGTAGAAGTTTTAATATTTTTTAATCACCTGTTTCAGATTCTAATAATATTTTAATAGGGATAAAATAATAATAATAATAATAATAATTAATTAATTAATATTATTAATAATTATTAAAATAATAATAAAAATAATAATAGGGTTATTTAGAAAGAACGAGCGGTAACTGTTTTCAATCCTAATATCATCTGCACTTTTTTTATTGCTATTCCTATATAAGTATTTACATGACTGTATATATGTATATATTAAGGTTTAATTAAAATGACACAGGGTGAAGTAATAAGAAGTTTACGCTGCCCTAAGTTAATGTTTATGTTCTGTTTGCCTCAAATATTATCAATTTTTTTGTTTTTTGTTTTTTTACCAGATTTGGTTTGCTTTAGTTATTTTTGTTTAGCAGCATATCAACCCCAATGTGTTATTTAATGCGAAAATTAAATATTTTGTACGCAATTTTATGACTTCAGCTAAATTTATTTTGAACGCAATTTAATGACTACAACTACATATATGTTGTACATAAGTTTATACTTTCAGAATAAACGTATGTTTTATAGATGATCTATTTTAGGTTTTATATATTTTGGTATAAACTTTTTCTTTAAAGTAGGATATTACGTTGACGGTTTCATTATTTTCAAATAGTTTTCTGATGTTTTCCTTGTAGTATTTATG